CGACCTCGGCCAAGAGGAGGACGCGTCTCGAGAACATCGCTACTTTTTGGGAAGACAAGCAAGAAATGTGGAAAGCTTTTTTGTGTGTCTGAGACGAAATAATTATAATGGCGGGTTAAGCAATTATTGAAATTATAGCGTCATTTATTTGAGTTTTTTAATTTTAGGAAAGGAAAATTTTTACAATTGGAATAATCTCAGGAGCATTGGCTGGCTTCGGTAGTAATTGAGTAATAATTGTATAATTATATAGTTTCAGTAAAAATAAACTTCAGAAAATTACTAAAAATGCATTATTCGGATAAATCATCGATGCATCCATACGTTAACAAGAGAATTAAAACATCAAAATTGCTTCATAACTTTACATATGGAATTATTTGCATAATTTAACGTTGCCATTAAGCCCAATTGAGTGAGCCGTATCCAGTAATTTTAACAATAGGGTAGTAAAGCATTTAGAAATTGTAGGGGAAACCAAATTTTACAAATTTATTTCTCATAAGTATTTACTTATATTGACCTTAAACACGACAAAATCGATATAGTGTACCGTCGCTTATGGTATTTTGATTAATAATCGTAATGTCTTGTGCCCCCATAAGCTTCGGGGAGTTGATCGGGATCAATTTTAGCCAAAAGATTTGCTAAATATGTCTCCTTACTCGAGCTAAACACGACCTCAAACAAATCATAACTAGCCCAGACGCACAACTTATACTCACTAAACAGTGATCGGTAATTGTGAACACAATTCAATTCCATCGTGTCAACGTGAACACCGGAAGGCTAGTCAGTACAACACGAATTCCGCACTACGCCGCCATGATGGCGCACACCCTTACAGAGCACTACCTAAACGCCAAACTACCATTCGCCTAATTGCGCAGCCAAGAATTGGACTCTATTCAATCAAACTTGGTGATAAAAGAATCCAGATAACTGAGTGTTGCCCATTATGTAAAGCTCAATCAGACGCCTCAATTGATCATCTCACATTTGTCTGCCGTATTCTGCAACCTAGGGCGCACCAAACACCCCCAACAATTTATTGACCCCATCCACAGCTTCCAACAACTTTATAATAGCAACTCGAACAATAGAACCTTTTATATGTCTGAATTTTGCTTTTGGGTAGACGCTTTTAAGTTTTATGACCTACTTCTTTGAAACAATTCAGCCAAACCATTTTAATTTGAACTTCTTGTTTTGACCTAAGTAAATTAGACTATTTTTTTAGATTATTACTACTTAGAAAGCTACAATTTAGTTATATTCCGTTATATGTATATGAATTGATGAGGACCACCGGCCATACATCACTACTCATAAAGAGCCAGCGTATTCCCTGCCTGCCTGCCTGGCTGTGGAGAATTATGCAAATGAGGAGAGGAGTAGAGGAGACAAAGAAAAAAGCGGAGCCACCACCACCACAATGCATGAATGAATGCATGCATGAAAATGTACACTGAGTGAGCAGCATACATACATACATACATACATACATCACTCATCAATAGTGGTTATCATGATAAGTGATCGTGATAATCACTATTAATTAATTATTTTAGTTTGAGAAACTCCACCCACAGCGAGTGGCATATCAATTCGAATGTATTTTTGACGCTGAATCCAACTCCGCCAATGGTTTTGACCTGCGAGGCCCCCGTGACCTTCCCGTGACCGTGGGGTTCAAATATGGCTTATTCGTGATGTCGCATATCAATTCGAATGTATTTTTGCCGCTGAATCCAACGTCGCCAATAGCTTGGCGTTAATTGTAGAAGTTAACGGAGTTTATGGAACTTAACGGGAGCGTGAAGCGTGGGAATTTAAATTGTTAGCTATGCAGTTACTCCCACGCGACGGGAATTTAAGTAATTAGCTATTCAACTACTCACACAGGGGGAAATCAAATTGTCATGTGACCAGATTAATTAAAATGCAGTATGACTTGGGCAAACCCTCACTCTGATGTATGTATGTAGTATGACAAACTCTCCACTGGGAATTATTTAAAGTATAGTATGACGGATTTTTCGCTTTGGGCACACCCCCCACTGGAACTCTAGAACACGGCCTTGGCCGGGCTATACGCTAGTATATCAATAAAGTATTTATTCATTCATTCATTTAAATATATTTAAGTATTTAAATATTCAACAAATACTACATAGTGTAGGATAGAACCAAGTATGATTTCAGAACATTTTTTTTAACGAACACTTTCCGGATAAGAGAATTTATTGTTCAACTTGAACAATGCAATTAGAAGAAGGGAACAAAATTAGAGTAGGAAATAATTTAATCGTATACATACATAATTTTATTCGCCCAGAGCAACCTTCAACCCAAAATCTTAGCGAGACATTTTTTTTTCGTCCTTTGACAACAACTTTTAATACAATTATACCAAGGTTCCTGTATACCTGTTGAATTACAAAAATTGTTGTTATGTGGATAAGCTACCGGCACGAAGCATGGCATAATTACAATTCTTCAAAGCAACCCTTATGTAATTTAATAAATTTGTCACCCTTTCCTAAGCCTGTTTTCCAGACAGCATTCGAAATATGAACAAATGGTTCCTTGTTTTTCCTCTAAAACTTCCTTGTCATCAAATTAACATACTGAATGCATAGAGAGACTCAAAATCAATTTCATACGTCATTCTTGTCCAGTTTCATGCGCAAATTTACAGATAAATACGTAAAAGGTTGTTCGAATATGGAAATTAAGTTGTTTCTTAGATAAGACATACATGAACGACCTCATAAAATTGAGCTTGATCGATGTCGATTGACGGGTTTTGTTTAAAAAGTTGTCATGCTTTATTGCGCTCCTAATAAGTAAATAAGGTGAAGTAAGACGTCACTGACTTAATGAAATAGTCGCTTTACTTAATTTATGACATTGTTGGTTTCGAAAAATTTAGCTTTGCATTTACAAGATGTTTGTGGCCGGACTCCGGACGGGTGGACAGACAGACGGACGGACAAAGTCTTCCTTTGATATGGTTTCACCCTACATACAAATAATAGACGTACTGTATCTTGTCTACCCCCAACCTCGACATGGAAAATATATTCAAATAAATCCAGACTTTGGAGGGGGTGTAACCCCCTTAAATCAGCCACATGTCTCAAGAATAGTCTATTAACAAATTGTTCAGCATTTTTTCTTATGCACTTTTCAAGTAGCTTGTCCTCATTTTTATGATTGGTAGCCCAAACTAGTTGTCACTCTTGTAAATACGTCATATGTATTTTAGGGGCCGTTCATTAATTATGTAACGCATAAATCGCTTTTGTTTAGATGTCCCCCATCCTTTAACAGGTTTCAGGTGACAAGGTATCATTGAAACCTTAGACCCCCCTGCGTCTCGTGTTACATAATTTCTGAACGTCCCCTTATGTTAGTAATAAAGTTTTATGCTTCTCCAGCTGATGGCCTATTTAGTGTTGCATGGATTAATGGTTTAATTATAAATACCTAATTAAATTTGATATTTGACGTCTAGTAGGGCATGCAATACCGGTGCTAGGCCAGGTACTTCGGCATTAGGATCTTCGATAATGCCGGTATTACGGAGATTACAAGTTAAGGTTGGGATTCAAATTTATAATTTGAATACCTAGAGTTAAAGTTCAATACCCGTGACGCGGGTGCACAGTGTAATATAATGCCAGGGCAGGTCCCAAAAGTCCCTAGGGGTGTAACCCGAACTGTATATGCATATGTGTAATCAGGGGGACTCAATAGACGCATGCCAAAATTTTTAGTGACCACACCCCCTGTGGGAGGAGTTAGCCCCCAGGGGGTGTGGTTCCTGAAATTTGTATATTTTCGGAATCAGTAACTCATACTGACTCCAAATCCAAAATTTTTTGAATTAAAACAATTTTTTGGCCAAGATAAAGCCGTAAATATAACCAAAAACATGCGTATTTTGGAAACTTTGAAGGGGTGTAACTTTTTTTTAGAGCAGCTACCCTGCCGAGTTACTGACGTTCTCTAATACATATGGGGTAGTACTACAGGCCGCAATAAAAAGGTCCGTCGGGAACCTGCTCACTTGGAGGTTATCCAATTTCAAAATTCCTTGAAAAACGTCCATCTGCGCCTTTTTGTAAATGTCCGATTTTAAAAGTTTTTCTGAGTTTAGCGGACCTAAACTATAAAACCAGACTCGATCAAACATTCTACGTTCGCTAAACTCAGAAAAACTTTTAAAATCAGACATTTACAAAAAGGCGCAGATGGACGTTTTTCAAGGAATTTTAAAATTGGATAACCTCCAAGTGAGCAGGTTCCCGACGGACCTTTTTATTGCGGCCTGTAGTACTACCCCATATGTATTAGAGAACGTCAGTAACTCGGCAGGGTAGCTGCTCTAAAAAAAAGTTACACCCCTTCAAAGTTTCCAAAATACGCATGTTTTTGGTTATATTTACGGCTTTATCTTGGCCAAAAAATTGTTTTAATTCAAAAAATTTTGGATTTGGAGTCAGTATGAGTTACTGATTCCGAAAATATACAAATTTCAGGAACCACACCCCCTGGGGGCTAACTCCTCCCACAGGGGGTGTGGTCACTAAAAATTTTGGCATGCGTCTATTGAGTCCCCCTGATTACACATATGCATATACAGTTCGGGTTATACCCCTAGGGACTTTTGGGACCTGCCCTGGCATTATATTACACTGTAGGGTGGTCTGATAGCAGTATTCGGTAATACCGGTAGTCTGATACCGGTATTTGGTAATTGTATACCCTAACGTGAACTGCACGCGTTTTTTGACCAGCTTAAATACGGAATCATCATTATACTGGTTGAGCAAATACTTGTCGGCGTTATAGCTCCGAATGAGATCTGGAGTCACCTGTGGTAGGACTGTAACCTCCGCCGAGCTATGTGATCGAGACGATGGTATATAAATCGGGCCATACTCAGGATCAGTCCAGTACTAGTTTCTCTAGATCCATCAAGAAACATTTTTTTAAAAATCTGAAACATGAAATCAACCACAGCATTCGCATGCTTGAGCTGGACGACGTTTATTTTCAGGACGGGGGCGTACCTTACCCCGCCCTGCAGTAAGATCCCTTTCCAACCCGGATGCACTAATAATTTGAGGTATGTACTTATTAAATATGGCAAGATCTTTGACAAAAATGCTCACCAGATTTGATCAAACTTTTCAAAAATTATAATTGTATCTATTTCCCTTCTTGAACATAGTTTTGCACTTTTGTGCTACAAAATGTGACAAATTGGAAGTATGTATGGCCGGTAAAGTTATTTATTTATTTGCACTTATTGCAGCCTTGTAACCCCCACTCTACCCGCGTGCCCTTTCCCCTTCGAAGAATGGGTCATAGCTGCCCGCGCCGCCCCGGGAAACTCTACCCGCCCAGATGGCGTCATTCCGCCCTGGTTCAACCGTCCCCTCGCCCTAAGAGGGCAGCAAGTCGCATCCGAATACCGCTTTCCTTGGTATGTCGCCACAATTTTCGGCGCCCTCACCGAACTCAACATGCCCGACATCCGGGACCCCATCATGTTCAACAAGAAGCATACGAACGGCCCGGACAACGCGAAACGAGACATGGCCACCCTCATGCAGGGCCTGGTTTGGGCGAAGGACTACTTTTACGACATGCCCATCGAGGGCAACTCGTCCTACATCGACTCCATCCGCAACGTGGCCGCCATCCATGCGAACGTCGAGATGCGCGCAAGGGCTAGACAAGCCTCGGATGGGTGCATCGTCTCGCGGAACGAGTATGCGTACCCCATCCTGTTTCCGAAGGAGATGGCGATCAACGCGTGCGACGCGGATTTTTGGGCGATCAATCATTTCTTTGCAGCGATTGGGTACGTTATTGATAAGTAGATATGTATTTACTTATATAAATTTACATTTACATATTTGATTGCATAAAACTCAAGTATAATTTGCATACGTACATATGTATGTAAAATTACTAAATTTATGTACAAGGTGGTTTCAATGTCAGCTTACAATGGAAAATTTTTAAATGGGAAAAATTCGCAAATCTCCATTAGTTCCCGAAATTTTGCCTCTGAAACTCAATATTTTAAGAATTTTGTCATCAGTGTTCCATAAGTTTTGATAAAAATTAATAAAAATTGCAATCCCAAATCCGTAGCTAACGGAAATTTACGAATTTTTCCGATTGAAAAATTTTCCATTGTAATCTGACATTTAAATCGCCCTGTATAACTTATGTAGATACGGTTTGGGGATCGATGAGAAGTATAACATTTTTCTTCAACCGGACCTGAAATCGGCGAGGATTTACTATCGAAAGATCCATGAACAAGTTATCATTCCGAGCTTATTCAATTTTGATAAGCAGACGAAGCTAATGATGGACAACATTCTTAAGGTGTGAATAATTTTGAAATCTCAAGATACATACCACAGATATAATTATCTCATTCTTAATTGCAGGGTCTGTCCACCTTGACGAGTGGAATTTTATCGCCACCCTTTATGATGCATCGTTTCCTCCACAATTTTTTGAACCAGCCCGCGCCTCGTCTTCAAGCTTTGATGAGCCCGAGAGAACTCGCGTTCGACCGCGCGTTAGATTTTGCCTACAAGCCCTAATTCATGAACAACCCGACGTATCGAAATTTGGCGAACAATGCGTTGAATACCATTACCTCCCGCGTATCGGCGGCAATGTTCCAAGGAAATTGTAAAGATTTCAAGACAATTGCACAGAAGTGTTTTGTTTAATATGGGTTAAAAGTAGAAAAATAAAATGGTTCCTATTTACTGGTATGAGTAAATATTGGACAGATTATTTATAAATGTTTCTGCAAATAATGTGGGTATTCGTATATATCACTCAAAAACATCGCTTCGCTACCCATCTTCGCAACTGAAAATCGGGGTCGTGAATGATTTTTATAAATAAAAATATATGCATTGGGAAACCGAAAATGAATTAAGAAATTAAGGAAATAATACTGCTACGTAAATTTATTTATGAATTTTTTTTACATTATTTGACGTTGCCATTTAATCAAATTGAGTGAGCCCGTACCCAGTAATTTTAACAATAGAGTAATAAAGTATTTAAAAATTGTAGGGGAAATTTAAGAAATTTATTTCTCATAAGTATTGATCTAGATTGACCTTAAACACGATAAAATCGATACAAATGTACCCTCGCTTATGGTACATATTTTGATTCCTAATCGTAATGTCTTGTGCCTCCATAAGCTTCGGGGAGTTGATCGGGATCAATTTTAGCCAAAAGATATGCCAAACATGTCTCCTTATTCGAGCTAAACACCTTAAGCGCCTTCCTTGACGAGGGGGTGAATAATGGCCGAAAAATGTTTAAAGCTGCATCGAACGAGTCCAAAGCTGAAAGAAGATACATAAATATTTGAATAAGAAAATTTGAACGATTCGAAATAAATATTTAGAAACTCAGAAATGTAAAAATATAAATTTCCAAGGAATGCATACACTCTTAGAAACCCAGTATGAAAATAATACCAATCAATTTTCATAACAGTATATTTACAACATTAATTACCATTTATAAGAAGGATTTCTTCAATTGCTCCAGGAAAATGTGATTCATAAATATAGGCAAAATCTGTGAAAAGAGGGATGCATTTGGCACAAAGGTGTTGCTGGGAGTTAAACTTGTCAATATTGGCAATCAAGCTCCACTGGGTGCCATTAATTTTTCCCTGTTTGAATAAATCTCTGGTTTTGCGATGAATCTCGTCCGTTCCTTTGATCACCCAGCGCACCAAGGTTTTCAGCCGGCCTTGAATCGCCGCCTGGCGAAGGTCCCATTCTCCAAGGGCGTAAAGCATAACTATGATGAGGAGAATCATTAATTTAAATATTTAGCGTAGATATTTTAAAAAAATATCAAATATTTCCAGAAATTTTGAACTTTATGACGTAAAGTTCCCGCAAATAAACGAAAAATTTAAGAAATCTGAAGATCTCACTAGGTTTTCCCTCTTTGTCCACGCCGTCGATCTGGTACGGATCACTTCTTTCGTACTGTGACCAGTCCTCGTTGTGTATGTTATCCATGCCGTAATCCTTCCACCATTTCACCGTCTATATTAACATTTTTCATGGATTATTCATCAAAATTATGTTGCCATTAATTTCACAATGAGGCAATTAAGCAGTCATTTGTAACTTCTGTGCATCTTGTAAAATAGTCTGACCAACTGTTACAAAATAAAAAGTCGTCCTCGATCTTAGCTGGTTTGCAAAAATTTGGAAGCTAATTTTCCTTATAAATATATTTAAAATTTTGCAAAAGTTTGTTAATTTACATAATTTGCAGTTTTAGCAATGATACCATGGACTGCATGAATTGCTTCAATGATTATGTATTACCTCTTGTATCATATCTTTGGCTCGTTGCACATCCCAGCCTCTGGCTAAATAAAATATGTAAAAGCGCATATCAAAAAATATTCAAATGTGTTCAGGAATCCATCGAAAAATTGAAAAATTTTAAAAAAGCAGAAATTTTTCATGAAGTGAAGTTCTATTTTAAGATTTATGCTCATAAGAAGTGTCTTCTTTGCTGACAAGTATTTACGTAAGCTAATCTTGCATACATACAAAGGCCAATTAAATATCTAATAATTGTTACCTTTTAAATATCGGAGAAGATTCAAATCATCTTTCATCCACTCTTGAGGAAACTTAATCGTTTCCACTGCTTCCTTGAACTGGATAAATCAAAATCAAAAGTTAAACATTACAAATTATAAAAATTATATAAATTCAAATTGTATTTATGTATGTATATGGTTATCAGTGCCTTATCTAATTTCTGCTTTTGTGATTTTGTCACGGTAAGACTTTCAGATTGAGATGAAAGACGAGTCATATATAAAATAAGTAAAATATGGAGCACAGCGAATGTAGAGTTAAATTTCTTAACCAACATTGTAGAAGTTCTATTACCCAGATTATTTCAAAATTGTTTAAAGGTTTCTACTAAACTATTTTATCCAGGACGCAGACTATAATTTATAGGTGTGGAGATAAGGAAAATCACTAATTATAATTTATCTACTTAATTAATCGTAGTTTTCCTACAACATTTCAGTCAACTATGACTATGCAATATTTTACAGTTTAAAACGCTAAGAATTTATGTACGTATGGGAAATTTAATTTTTAAGTTTCGTACTTGACAACCTGATTGGCTAAATATAAGTTGATTATCTTAAATGCTGAGAACTACTTACATGTAAATGTATCCACCTTATAAACGTTTAAATGCACTCTTAGAAATCCTGGTTTAAAATAATAGCAAGCCGCATTCATATACCTATGTATGACTCATAAGTGCAGAGTTGGAATAATAAGTGGTATTGATAACCATCACCGTGTAGTAATAGCTCGGCATTAAAGTTTCACAATTTTAGTAGCAAATATTTATCGACCAGTATAATTTTAATACCAACTGATAGCAGCTTTAATACCCAGAAATCAATACCTACGTGACTGTACTAGATTTCTAAGGGTTAGGTTTCCTGGTATTTGGTGCCTAATTGTATAATCCAGTCTAATTTATCACACGGTACAAATCTTACGTAAACCTGCATTCTAGTTGGACTGGAAACATGGTTTCGGAAATTCCCACGTGAGGCGAGAATAAATACTATAAAATTGTTTATCATATGCATATTAGATATGTAGTTGCAGCGATTAAATAAAAATAAAATGTAAAATACGTATCATATAAAAATATAATATCGTATAAAAATACTTTGAAACCACTTGTAAAGTTCAGGTATGTAATCCTCCCGAGGAATATTTAATTACGTGAGGATAAAACATCCCAGTTCAAGGTGAACCAATCACTCGCCCATGAGCTGGAATGGCCTTGTAATTGGATAAATCTTGGTTAGCCACCAAGAAACACAGCGAGACGTAACCGACTAATCAAACTTTTGAGATAACAACCTCCGTCATTTCCTCTGAGCGAGACTCCCTCTAACCAGATTAGTTTGAATGAAGAGATTGTCTAGGTTAGATAAACTTTAGTTTAGTTCTTGGCTGGTACTTGACTCTCAAATCGCCAAATAATTCGCATATGTACATACATAAATACGCCTTATCATCCTTGTAAATATTCTAGCAACGGCAGTAATACATTAAATAAATTGTACAAAATTTAAGAGTTTTTAAGTCTAATAAGTAGTCATCAGATTCAAACGACAATAGTATTTTTTTACCTTCTTCTTAAAACCGATACACAATGTTACTGAATACTTTAAAAAAAGCATTTAATATGTATTTTGTATACGGAATAATTTTTGTGTAGGAATAACTTGCCAAAACCACATATGTTTCTGCATTATGCAGAATTGTCGATAATTTATTGAAAATATTCAATATTTTTATTATCAATCGATTTGTCCAAATCAAATTTGTACATATGTATTTTACTCATATTCGTTTGGTAATAAATAAATGTGGCAATTCACATCAGCCCTCGTACATAATTCCGCGTAAACTTTCGACGATACTGACAAACATCTCGGACTTACGAAAGTTGCCTGCCTCAATATTTACATAGAGTTCTTATTTATGTAGATACAGGTATTTATGATATACATAAGTTTATTAGATATAGCTATGTACAGGAAAAATATTTAAAATTTCTTAAAATTTTGCTTTATCAATTTTATCGCAGATTTGATATTTTTGAAATCATCTGACGTTCCATTCTTCATTAAATTTCACCTGAGAAAAAAATATGAGCTGAATATTTCTTAAAGTATTCGACACATGCATCTCCCCCATCGACAACTGCCATATGCTTGCCAATTCCCCGGCGCAATGATGCCATTAGCTTGACAACAATGGGCACACCCCAACGACGCTGCATATCCCCAACCAAACGCGCAATGCCCTTCACATTGATAAGTTCGCGCCCTTATCCAACCTGCCGTTGGCGAAATATCTGTAAAAGAAAACGTAAAATTTATTCCTGATAAGGACATGAATATCTGCCCTCTTAGAAATCTGGTATACTCATGAAGGTATTGATTTCTCTGTATTCTCGGTTGCTACCGCTTGGTGCTAAAATTCTACTGGTCCGTAAAAATTTGCTACGGATGTGGTAAAAGGAGCTAGATAGTGCTAAATACATAGTACCATGTATCAATACCACTTTGGTACCATAGTCATATGTGAATACCGCTTGGTAGTATTTTAATACTGGATTTCTACGAGTACATATATTCTGAGATAAAAATTACTTATGTATGCATTTTACCTGTTAACATAATTGCGAAGCTAAGGAGCAGAATGCTTGAGAATGACAACAATCTCATTTTCCTTACTAATTATGTACTCGGTTTCAGATAGGTTGAAATTTCTCGCTAGCGATGAGTATTTATCAAATAAACGAAAGGTTTACACACCAAAATGTATCAGATGTGTGTACAAAATTATTTAAGTTGATATAAAATAGTGTACTTCAGTTTCTTCTCTTCAGTTCTCGTGATATTCGTCCCCATGGAGTTATAATTAACGATACAGGTTATTAAAGAGGCACACCTTCCACCATCAGGTGAGTGAGCTGGACTAAATGTACAAAAATTCTTATTCAAGTACATATTTATATATCATGGAATTGATAAGCAAATCGTAATTGTGTTAATCCTTTAAATCTAACTCTTAATCTGTAGTTAGTATATAATTTTTACAGAATTAATTCGTCTCGAACTCTCTTTGTCCCATTTTCATTTGCTAAAACCAGGCATCTTCGTATTAACATTTAGTAAGTACTTAATAATTAAAGACTACCTTGAAATTTATTGGGTTATACCCCGGACTGGTTATACAATTATGAATTTTTATCCCATCCATTTCTGAGAAATGCTGAATAAGTTGTTAAATGTGATAAAGACTTTCGCAGGTATAGTAGTTGTAGAACAGATAAATTTGAGGAAGAAAACATACACAAATCGCACTCAAGAGTAAATTGGATGTTAAGTGGATATGAATAATTGTTAAATTTATGAGGCGTCATTTATTTGGATCATTAAATATGCCTAACTCCATAATTACATAGCTATTACTCAACACCAGGTAACCACGGTTTATAACTATATAAATACTTACTATAAGTGACTCACTTAAAGTTTAAGTGAGGTAACAAAGGTTTTCATTTGAACAAGAAAAATAAATCATATCACAACACCAAAGATTTATTAAGTATGATAGATAATTTCCACAAATATTTCCAGTAACCAATTCATCACATTTAAAAAGGGGATAAATTTGTTTCGTAAATCAGCAATTTGTGGGTGCAATCAATTTGTTTGGAATTGGGTGAATTTCTGTAGAATAATCCCTTCAATCCAAAAATTTTGGGCGCAAAGTTTGAAGACCAACCTGGTGTTTACCCGTGGAGGAAAAAGGGAGAAAAAGTTTACTCCAAAACAGAGTATGCAAAAAGGCGCCTTTTTGGGAAAAAATTCATGCCATTTTACAAATTTTTCTATGGACAAAAAAGTGTGACAACAATGTGATTGGCTTTACATTTCGGTTGTTCTAAATGTTATCAACCCTACAGTTCTGCACAATTAATCCACAACATTATTTCCTTATATAAGCAGTCATGGTCATGATAATTTAGAGTATTTGTGACTAATTGTACACCTCAAGATGTACATAATTTTATTAGTGGTGTCGACGATCATCCAAATCGGATTAATAGTGAATTATGAAAGTGAAAGTGAATTACGAATTGTGAAAGATTAAAACTACATAACTAATCATGGGACCGTATTATCACATTGCCCCGATTTTACCAAAAAGGCAAAAAGGCATTTCGGGCAATCGGGCATGGCCAAAATTCACGTGCCTAATAGGCAAAAAGGCATTTTAGGCACGGCATGCCTTTTTGCCCTTGCACACTCTGCTCCAAAATTGAACTCATCTAGTTCCAATATTTTTCTTCAAAGGGGCTATTCCATGGAAAGATGGTGTCACGTGATTCCTAATTTTTGGCTGGTCTGGCTTGAAAAATGGTTGCATTGCAAATAATTGAAAACAAGTTAGTATACGTAGAAACAAACTCCTGACAAGGACATTTAAAGCCCAGAAAAAATATTTCTAGTCAAATTTCCATATGCAATTAGACGCGTAGCTTACTTAATTCTATGTCACACTTCGCCATTATTTCATGTACCCGCTCAATCACAAGTTTCCCCGTCTCACCATCCCCGGCTTGCACTTTATTCACAAGTATCTCCCCGTAATACTTTAACCTTTTACAAAATCGTGCCTTGCTCGTACCCCCTTCAAACATTAACACGACTTCTAACCAACTTGGTGTGAGGCGTCGTCTAAACGAATCGTGGTTTCCGTAGAACATGGCGAGATTTCCGAACTGGAGGAGCATTATGAATCGATAAGCCCCCTGGATCATTTCCGTCTCCATTTCGTCCAGCCGGGCTACAGACGGCCACATGTAGGTCAAATGGTGTGCGACGAATTCGTTCAGACAGGCGACACCCTTCGTAATATTGGCCGGGTTTAAAAAATCGCGCTGATCCGGGGCATACTTTTGGACGAGGCATTTTGGCCAGTACAATCTTGGCGGGGTGGCTTGGGTGACGGAGTCTTCGAAGAAACTGGTGAGCATGTGGACTCCTTGGAACATCATGGATGCAGCCATAGGATTGTTGGTGAATGGGCCGCGTGGGTTTATCGGGGGAACGGTGGTGTTCTCCATTCTAAAGAAATATATAAATGTGGGAGATTTGAATTATCTAGTTGAATTTGTAGGATTTGTAGAGATAAGTAAACTAATTGTAAGAAGCTGTTTTAATAATTTTGGGTATGAGGGCAAAAAATCCAAGAAATAATTATTCGGCAGACAGGTCTTACAAATATGTGATTCTGTAAGGATCACGTATGTACGTGGGTGTTTTATTATTAATTTTCAAAAGGTATGTTCCGCACTGTTTCTCACCAAAATTTTGATGAAAGAACAAACTTCAAATACATTTAGGAGGATGTGATTTTTTCAGTTCTGTAGGTTAACATTAACACTAGCAATAACTCATTAAAATTTACCTCGAAAATATGCCAAAATTTTCGACTTCATATCAATATCATCCGAAAACCGTTTTCCCCTGATGTCTTTCTTTAAGTTTCGAAACGAATAATAATCACTAAGGGTCAAGTCTGGACTGCTCGGGGTGTGGTTTGTGCAGGTAAAGCGATTTTCGTCTGCACTAACCCTCGCAAAAAGCCAGGTATTAGGTGGCGCGTTGTCGTCTAAAAAAAGGCCAACTCTTTATTTTGACCCCACGTTTCTTTTCACCCGGAGGACGCAGCTCCTTCTGGGTACCTACATACGCGGCCCCATTTATTGTAGTATTTCCAGCAATAAATTTTATAAGGAGGGGACCTTTGATATCCTTGAAAATGGTCATCATCAATTTTTTGTCAGATTTTTGCACTTTGCAATTCTCGGGCGGTGGCAACCCCTCGTGCTTCCATTGAGGGAATTATTATTTGGTCACCGGGTCATAATAGTAAACTCAGGTACCATATTTAGCTAATAAAATATTGAGCAGGTTCAAGTCTTCATTTAATAGGTTAAAATTGGCATTGCAAAAGTCGGCTCGATCATGTTTTTGAGATGCCGAAAGCAATTTTCGTACCCAACGGACGGGGACCATTTTCATACCAAAATGTGAAGTTAACATGGGACAAATTGTTGGTTTTTGAGCACCCATCTCATCTGCTAAATAGGACAGTTTCAATCGCGGATCTCTCATTATTGGTTCCTCTAGTTTCCGGAGCCTTTCTGTGGAAGAAACGGATTTTGAGCGTCCTGGCGACTTTTTGCCCGAGACCTCGTTTCGCCATCATTTAAAATTATTAACCCAATTGAATTAGTGTTTTGTGTTGAGCAGTTTTCATCGTAAATTGTAAGCATTCAATCATAAATCTGCGACACGTATTGCCCATCCAGCATTAAAAATTAAATCACACTACGATATTTAATTTGCAAATCTAGCATTTTTTCCGTCGAGGTAAAGTTTGCCGATTTATTGCTAGTGTTTATGTTGACCTACAGAACTGAAAAAAATCACAGCCACCTAAATGTATTTGAAGCTTGTTATTTCATTAAAATTTTGGTCAGAAACAGTGCGGAACATACCTTTTGAAAATCAATAATAAAACACCTACGTAAATACAAAGGGTGAGCCGCATATTTCTTTCATTTCTTAGGGGGAAGGAAATCGCTGTCACGTGCAAGAAGCACATGCATGAAAATATGTAATAATACTTGTGTCACACACTTAAATAGATTTCAATTCTAGTCAGATCAGTTTGACATAAACATTCGTAAATTAAACCTTCATAAAACTATTAAAGAAGAATTCTAAAAATCTTTCAAAATTTGAACTTTGTTGATTTTTTATAGACACCGGGAAATTATAATTTCCAGAGGCATATCAATTTATGTAGGACTTGAAGTCGTGGTCAACACTGGTCAACTTACCCTTGAGAAATTCCATACTTCCAAAAACCCATCTGAATTACGGCACAAACGTAATAACAATATTCTTCGTAGTCTTGATAGTCGTAAATTTCCAATTTGCGTAAGTACTTAATCATCCCGGTCGCCATTTCAGTCGCCACCGTGGTGATAATTTCCCTCGTGGCTGGTTCCAAGGTGGAAAATACTTTGACAAGTTTGGGCAAATTGGACATGAGATCTCGCTCCTTGGCGTTCATACCATCTAAAAACATGCATTTTCATATTATGCAGATATAAATATTTATTTAAGAGCATAATTGAAAGTAAAGATTAATTGGATAAATTGTTAAATTTGTGTGTATGTGCATTCATACACAAACATGATAACTTGTTCTTGACAGGATCTTGTAAAATGAGGTGAAATTTCGACAAATCCGCGATCCTGCATTCGACACTTTTTGTGACGTCGTCCTCTGCAAAAAAAATTCAAGTAGGTGAAATTTCCGTGATGATATGGTACGTACGTTGGGGGAGATGCATGATGTATGTCATCGATTTTTAAAAAATATTAACGCAGCCTCTCGTTTAAGCCGTAAGAGACTTTTACCAATTCAAGGGAAGTCCTTGATCTGAGCAAGTTTATAAAAAAGTGTGAACAAATTTGTCCTTTGAAATATTTTCATAATTTTGATCAAGTTTCTTAAGTTCACAGAATTTATGGATTTCGTTCCTAATTTCCGGACCCTACTATAATAATCAAATATGTGTTTATATTAAATACATATATACATTTTCAAAACGATAAGACAATCTACATAAATAAATTTGAACATATCCTTCACGCAAGGCGCCCCCTCTAAATATCTACCGAATATTTGCATACCAATTGTGTCCAACGCTCTCAAAATCACATGTAACAACATCGCAAATTCGGCCACATTCCGGCTTAAAATCACCCGAAATATGGCCAACCACTGGAACGAGTCGGACATTTTTGTCACATATTTTATCGCCGCGACATACTCTGGATCAGATTCTTTATCGTTTCGCACCGACACTAAAACCTTGTCGTGACGATGGGTAAATAAAGCTTGGTAAATTGTGGTGATCCCCCAAATAAATATGTTTCCGAAGGCGAATAAAATTTCCCATGGTTTGAAATAACTGTAGGTGTGGATCGTTTTTGGTTTAAGCCTGACAGACAATTTATTGGAAGGGGTTTCCTTCGCCATTTTTGGTTGGCGTCGTTTCGTAGACTGGAATTGTTATGAATCCAATTATTACATAATTATCTGTACAAATGAGTTTGCAAATTACAGGGAAATTTGAGACGTATTTATTATGTTTAAGTACACTCTTAAAAATAATGTACGCGTTTGAAACGTAAATGTTTTCGAATTTTATATTAAGTAAACTATTTTGAATCCAGAGTAAACTTTAGTATTTATCAAGTTTAATATCAAACTGAAATTAGCATAGTTTACTTAATATGGAATTCAGAGTGTATTTACTTTTTAAATTGGTAACACTATTTGTAAGAGTGTAGGTATTACCTACTTTGTTTTTTTAGGATCGATCAAAATATGTATGAACTTATCCTTTGCCTCAAATCTATGAAGGAAGTCATAAAATATAATTGTGTATTCTGGATAAACATGAGAAAGGGAATTTTGTGCTCTTGTTCAAGGGCCGTGCAAGTATTCGGTGCGTTAGTAAATGGATACATTGGTGTCGGAAGAATAAGGAAATTGCTTGTCGAGGAAAATGCATGATGTTCTTACTGCTAATTAGTTAGTTGACTATTTAGTCAACTAAAACTTATTAGTAGGAAAATTCGTCGCGATATATGTAATCATGTTGATTTTATCGTTCTCAATATAATACATATTTACGTATAAAGAAATTACTTATTTACGTGTGAAAAGTGTTGTAGTTTTATGTTTGCATGGTCTCCTCGTAGGGAGAAAATTTTTTGTTACGTGTTATTCAAACTGGTGTTAAATTAGGTAATTACAAATTACATTCATAATGTTTTATGTATCTTGGTAGGTAATATTTAGCAATACATATATGTATAAGTTAGTTAGTGAGTGTAGTGCGTTTTGAGTAAGTTTATGAATAAGTAGAAGCTTGTTTTTTATATATTTTCAGGATTACATAAAACGGCAGTCGGTACATGTTTAAGTAGGTATGAGATTATGTTAATTGCAGTGCGGATGCGAACAATACGTATGTATATGGAGCAGCGTGTGAATAAACACATTATTAAACAGATAAATATGTATACTCGGCGTAGGTGAGTTCGATATTTACATGCTGGCTAGGACTTCATTAAGCCATACATAAAGTTACCAATTTTTTACACAGCTAGATTCGATAAAGCCATGTTTTCTGCGTGAAGACTGAAGAGTAAGCAAGAGAACGATGAATGCATGAATAGACGAACGTAACAAAGTTAGGAATGACAAAAATATTTGGAAACTAATTTAAATATGTCCTTCATAAATACATACATACTATTATGTTTTGACTGTAAGCATTGCCTTACAAATCTGCTAACATAGGGTAATAGCTACTAGTAAGTTACTAATTATTACATAAATAGTTAATTCACAAAACTAAACTGAACAGGAAATCTCAAAAATTGAGAAATAGGATTACATACGTAACTAGTCAAAAAACCCAATTCCATAATTTCCACGTACATATACTTCATCCCAAAGTTATATGGACGAAGAAGACGTCATAACCATGTTAATCGTATAATCCAACATCTCCGTCAAAACAAAAACTTTCCTCTCTTTATCCAAAATGAACAGCGTTATCTCTCCAATGCCCACAGCCAATGCGTACGGCTCCAAGCTTTTAATCCATCTCGCCAGCTCATTCCTTACCTTACTTTCTCCCACACTGGCCAACCCATTTGTATATTTGCCCAACAAGTTTTTCCCCTTTTCATTAATATACACGCCAAAATTACAAATTATCATTTGCACATAGAGCGTAACCAGGGCCCCAAATAAGCTCAGAAGCAAAAAAGGCGTCGGGATTTGTGAGTGCGATCTTATTCCGATATACGCAAAATAGACGAAACTTGCCCCAATGAAGGCGATTCCGATGAAAGCACTGAATTTATTTATTGCGACGGGAATTCGGTACAGGATTCCCACGTGCCGGTAGACCTTGAAGTGTTGCATGTCATTTTGTCTTCCGAGGGAGATGACGCGGTCGAAGTAGGCGTCAGCAAAATCGATAAGATTCTTGAATAATTGAATCCCCATCATGGACACGATCGAGAGGAGGATGAAGCAGCGGAAGAGATCCATCACGAATAGCAACTGGATGATGTACCTTGACAGAAATATGGTTGTGTTGAGAGAGGTCGTACTAATGAATGGGAGGGAAAGAGCGAATTGGTAGAGGGTGTTCCGGAAGTAATGCAACTTTGGTAAAATGCATATATGCAAGGGTATCAATTTGCCCCAAATTCTAAATTGGGTGAATATTGTAGTCCACACATTTATCTACTAGAATCCGAAAACCAGAAGTCGATATCTCTATCCGTTCCAAAATGAGGTCAAATACCACCAAGCAACTCGCAACCATCGTCTGCCACTACCTCGAAAAAGTGGTTACGCGCTCCAAGAAATTGAGCTGTGTTCACTTTAAAAAATAAGAAATTCCAAAAGTGACGATTTGTTGTGTTATACTAAGGTATGAGCTGCAAAAAACGACTAATCGCAAAAAATATCTGGTCGGTACATTCGTGTGGCAGCCCCGAAAGTAATAAACTTCGTGTAGATAGAAATTTGTTATGTCGGAGCGAAATTCGCTGAAGTACTTGAAGTTCTCACCGAACACCATACATTATTTGAAAGCTTAGAAGTTGGACATCAAATCCTAGAAGGTTCTAGAAGCTTATAAATATAGTCAAGAGTAAATAAAAGTAGCAAGCAGGAGGGCAGAAAAAATCCTTGACCTGAAGTAATTAAAATTAACCAAAATTGATCGTCCTGTACAAGACGATTTACTGCTCAGATTATCAAAATGCTTTTATTTGCACATAGTACAACTCTCCCACCTTCAAGAAAACCATTTATGCAAAACTGGAAATTAAATATAAGCCAAAGTATCACGCTCCGCCTTAAAACGGATCAAATGCAATTAACATGGGAGAGGTGAACGTTCCCAAATTTGCCAAATACAAGACCTATTGAAAAAATTTAGTTCCTATCCTAGAAAAAATATTGTAATCGAAAAACTTCAGTCAAAAATTTGAACTTATTTCAACACATGTGGTCAAAAATCTCAAAAAAGGTGACCAAAAACAGTGGCGAAGCACTAATTGTGAGCGCCCAACAAAAACGTCTCCAAATTTGGCGGAAGGGGTGTACGGACCATCCGCAAAATTGGTTGAAAGTGACGTCGAAACGACGCAGTCGGAAATTGGTCACATATGGCCGGCAGAACCTAGTCTAAACAACCATCCATATTCTCCTAAAATGCGACCGTTGATTCAACGTGGATTTGATCGTCGGAATCAACATAAAATCGACGGTCGAAATACCGTTGAAAGTATGGTCGCATTATGGTCATAATTCACCGTCGTTTATCCGTCGATTTAATAATGAATATACAACGATAATATTGGCAACGTGATTCTTTATTATACAAAAATCGATCATTCATTACAAAAGAATCAATTATTAGTGTTATGTAAAGGAATACAAATAATGCCACCTTCCAACTCCATTAACCAACATTTTTGCCTTAATGAACTTAAATTAATATGTACAGCGCTAGATAACTTTGAAACTAAATATACATCAACAATCGTACTTTTACATGGAACAACATACCAGTCATCAACTTTTGTAAATTTTTTAACTAGTAATGTATCGGAGCCAGGTACATAACTAATAATAATTACAATTTCACCAGTCTCTATTTTATAACAATTATTACCTTTAGAAAATTTACTCTGACATGATGGAGATATAGGCTTGGCTGACAATTTTAAATGTTCCTTTTCTTTTAATCTACTTATACATTGTTCGAACGGTTTATAAGGAGATCTTAATGTTCTTTTAATAAATTGCATATTATTCTCAAAGTCAAATGCACTAAAGTTATCCAGTCTCCCATAATTCATGGCATCAGCAGCAATGTGAATTAAACAGTGCACATTATATACTAGAAAATTTTCTGAATATAAGTCGCTAATTTTTGAAACGAAAAATCTAAACAATTTGTTAGCGTACTCATTCCATTCAACATTTTGCGCTTTCTCGCTTATCAAAATTGAAGTCGCTATACTCAATAATAAAAAATGATATTTACTCTTAGGCAAAACACTTTTAAGAACTGCAGGACCTGTGTAAAGTAAAAATGACCTAAACTCTGTCGCCACATATCTACACATATCTACATATCATATCCACATATCTACATCTTTAGCCGTTCTCGGCTTTCTACTAAAATTATTAGGACAGCTTGTTCGTAAATTAAATAATGATTCGTTTAATTTTAAAACGCTACTGGGCGGTAATTTATATGGGATTGGACCTTTTATCCAACAACGTAACAATTTTCTAACTACTCCTAAACAAATACAATGCATGTAATCAATAGGAACACAACTAACTAATGGAAAATCTATATGTGCAAATGGTGAATTACCAGAGTGATGATTTATATCTAATTGCTGTAAAAATTCGTCGTCTGTTCTAACAGGAGCAGATAAATCAGGAAATATAACTCTACCTGTCCATTTTCCTACAACTTTACATTTTTCACACCCATTATAAGAGTTGTGATTTTTGCATTGCTTAATGAAACTACGCGCAGGCGCATCAGCAATTATCCTATCAAATTTAACTTTGATTATACTATGATTAAGAATTAGACTAACCGTTTGCAAAACTTGGATTTCATCTACTAAATCCTTCAAAAAATTATCGACTAATTTTGGTTTCGTTTCCCCATAATATAACCCAGCTACAAAAACTCCAAATTTACTTTCAATGCATGAAACTTGGATCGGCCAAAATTGTTTCGAGTTACTTCTAGAAATTGGAAGACCATCGACACTAACTGCTACCCTAATACTTAGTAAGGGCTCAATAAAATCCTCGTTGAATTGAGCCTGCAATGAACTAGTTATACCAAAATAACTAAAGTATGACCCATCGTCATTTCTAGTTATCGTTTTAACTACTGGAATGTCGCCGCGTAATAAAGTTCTTTGGTCTATAGGAAGAGATTCGAAACAATTATGGCGTCTCAACAATTTCAAAAGTTCCTGTGTAGCAATACCTGTAATATTGTAATTAATTGCCCATTCCCTTAAACTAACTTTAAATTCACTAATATCAATATCATTAAAAGGACCATCACTACCCGTGTCACTTAAACTAAACTAAATCTGACTTCGCTCCTCTGACTCTGAGTGAATAAAATTATTTACTAATCTATCAGTATCTACCGTATTAATATCATTTAAATGATTATTATTATTTTCTGGAGTAGGAGTAATTTGTCGCTGAGTGTTTTCAATGTTCTGTTGGACTCGTTTTGCAATAATACGTCTTAAATTCCTGGGCGACCGACCTGTCCTATTGGTCTTCTCCATCTTTAGGGGCGTACTTGAACCAATTCTTTGCTGTCCCTAATATCTCGTCGTCATTGGCCACAGGATACCGAGTACGGACAGAATCTAAATGACATAATAATAATTATGAAAACCAGCTGCAACACTTATTTACTTCACACCATGCTCTCACCCTTTAAAATTTTCAAAATCTCCAGATTTTCCAGTGCGACTTTGTTACCTTTCCCGGTATAATTAATTTGACATCTCAAACTGCCACCAATTAATTTTAGCAATACCTGCCTAGTATTCCTGTCAGTATTTGAACCGCCAGTTGTACTCAAATATGAGATCTGCAGTTTCATAAATTCAGTTACCACACAATTTGGATCAACATTATTTAAGAAATATGTTTTTATTGTACCAGCAGTTTTTTATGGGAATCGGATGATTTCAGCCAATCCTCAAAAGCCACGAGTTCCAATCTCCCAGCGATCGGCAAAGGTGGTATAATAGAATAATCTGGGAGCAAATTGCCACCTTGTGAATTTGCACGCAACGTGTGAATGGCAGCTTTAATTTCCCTTATATCTTCTGCTTGTCTCTCTAATAACTCGAAACTTTTTTTCATGAATCCTAAACAGCATCAAATTAATAAAATAAGTTGTAATAAGTGTAATAGCCATAAATATAGAAATATAATATGTATAACATATTAACAAAAACATGCCTTCAATTAGAGACTTGATGTCAGCTGTATCCGCTGCCGTCGCCAAAAATAACTTAGGATCCTGTTCAACATCAAAATCCTCTTGAACGATAACAGGTTGAGGAATTTCTGGAACGACTGCTACCTGCTGATTATTCTCATCTGGAGGGTGGGGCTGGTCGCCGGTAGATTCTTGACAACAAAACAAGTTAAATATATAAATGTTAAGAAATATAAAAATACATACGACATCCTTCTTTTTCTGGACCCTACGTCCACGTCGGATTCCAATGTCGTCCTCCTGGCTACTTTCAATGTTTGAGGTATCCTCAGCTTGTTTTAGCTTCAAACAGGCGTCGTGAAATGAACCTAATAATAATAGTAAATTATCACAGGCCATACATTGAACCGACATTTTATTGTACAACAAAAGATGTTTCTAAATCTTACCATAACTTCCTAGAATTTTTTCAAATGTGTGAGAAGTCCAGGATGGCAGCGGAACAATTTCGCACTTTTTCACCATAGTCTTTAAGGCAGATCCTTTACAAGGTGGCCAAAATACTTCTTTCTGGTCTTCTTCGATCCATATTATTCGGACAATCTCAACTAACTTTGGAATATTTTTGAATATATTATTATTATAATATTATGGAATATTTTTTTGCCTTGTCAATTTGGGATGACATGAAGATTTATTTTTTAATTTGGAAGGACAAGAAATAAGTGTGACTCGATGAGCACAATGTGATGGTGTGGACTGACTTGAGAATCGCGGAAGCATGGCACTTGGATGGGGAAATGGTGGATTTTACGTTGAGAAATCTTAAATTATGCAACGGTCGCAAAGCCGTTGAAAAATTTTCAATTATGCGACGGTGGAAAAGGCGTTGAAAAATTTTCAATTATGCGACGGTGGAAAAGGCGTTGAAAAAGTAGTTAAACTGACCTAAAATAATATGGTCGTATTGTCTTATAATATGATCGAATCAACTGCTAAAAGTGGTCGCAAAATTTTCGTCGCATTAGTCGACGTCTCTCCGACGTCCTTTAGCCGTATGAAAACCCGACGGTCGGGTTGCTCATTTTTCGACCATTTGGCGACCAATTTTTGCGGATGGGGATCACGCTCCGCCTTAAAACGGATCAAATGCAATTAACATGGGAGAGGTGAACGTTCCCAAATTTGCCAAATACAAGACCTATTGAAAAATTTTAGTTCCTATCCTAGAAAAAATATTGTAATCGAAAAACTTCAGTCAAAAATTTGAACTTATTTCAACACATGTGGTCAAAAATCTCAAAAAAGGTGACCAAAAACAGTGGCGAAGCACTAATTGTGAGCGCCCAACAAAAACGTCTCCAAATTTGGCGGAAGGGGTGTACGGACCATTGGAAGCAAAACTTAATTAGCTTTAACCTTTGTCCCTTTCTGACCAAAATTTCGCTTTAAAAAATTCATTCGTTGAGTTTATATGTGCATTTGACCAAAGTTGCATTACTTCCGGAACACCCTCTATAGTTCTGGGAATTTTGAAGATACGAAGGACATGATAACCACCCCGGGGTCCCGTTTGAGTAGGACGACGATTAGAGCTGTGGGCGGTGGAAGAAAGATGCCAGCCCAGACGAAGAGTCGGATTATATAGTCGAGAAAGATGGGTTGATGGGTTTGTTTCAGTAGGGACGGGACAGCTAGAAAAAGCGCAATTGTCAGTAAATTCATACACTACGAATTAATTGTTCGCTCGGTTAGGCAGGCTTATAATCCCGAAAAGTGTAAACTTAATGATGCTCTTTGAAGTATAGATGTGGCTTTCTCTAACAATGGAACCTTTTTTCAAGCTACACGGGGATCAACTAGCGAGTTATGTCAAAAAATCAAGCCAAAAATTAGGAGTCACATGACACTTATATTTCCGTTGAATGGCTCCTTTGAAGAAAAATATTGAGGGTCAAAGTTCGAACTTTTCCCTGGTTTTTGTCCCGTGGAGGAAAAACCAAGGGTAAATCTGCTAAAAAATTGAACTTAACTGCCAATATTTTTCTTCAAAGGGGCCATTCAATGGAAAGAGAAGTGTCACGTGACTCATAATTTTTGGCTTGATTTTTTGATATAACTCGCTAGTCGATCCAGGTGTAGCTTGAAAAAAGGTTCCATTGTAAGTGAGTGAACTTGGAAAATCGCCGGACCCTTCTTACCCGGGCAATAAATTTGGGGTAACAATTATTAGGTAAACAAATTTGTAACAAGTTGACTATACAGTATGTAACACTACAGAATTATGATCACATATATGCTACCGAACTTCTTTTAAAAATCTCCTTGACGCTACTCTTAAAGTTTTTTGTAATGTTTAGTAATGTTTTTCAAAATCTTTGGAGTTACCTCTATCATCGAAATATTTAGAGTATTGGTAAGGGGAGCAAAATAAAAAAATACACAACAATTTACCTGTTCCCAATTGTTCGACATATTGGTCTGTCGAGTTAAAGGATTGAATCAGAATGTCGTCATATCCCACAAAAATCATCAGAAACAAGAAAAATCGAATCATTTCCATTGCAAAAAACCATTGCGAAGCTATTATAGTGAATCGGTCTAACTGAGTGACGATGGGATCTCGCATTCTCAACAGTATTCCAAACGAGACGAGTATTATACATGTGGATGATACAAGAAGGGGGGTTTTTGTACGAGTAAGTTTCCTCGATTTTCCGACATGGACACAATTTCCCTTAATGGAAAGCTGTATGGGGAGGGCGTACCAAAATAATGGTTTCAAATTAAATAAGTGGTTAAATAATTGGATTGTTTCTAACTCAAATGGTTTCATTTTTGATTAAAATTGGAAATCATGGAGGGCCGGAAATAATATGTGGGAAATTTTCTGCTTATTACAAATTTTGGATTAATTTCTATATCAAAAAATATTTTTGGTTTCCTACTTAAACCCTAATTTATTTATTGTCATTTTATGCATGGACCTGTCCGAGATCTGCATCCGACTGTAAAATGATAGATCTTAAACGCTCGTACGTCGACGTCTGTTTGCAAGGAATATTTTGTATATTTTTATGGCCGATATTCTCATGATTTGCATGTTGAACAATATTACTCGTTATGTCATGAAGGTCTGGATTTAATATTAAAGCTGCCTAAGAAAAATCAAATTAGAAAACTACGCAGTTAAGAAATTCTCAAATTTAATTAATTAGTTCTCAAGGTTTCAATAGGCGAATACAGGCAAAAATTTATATATGAATACTCGCAGAAGATGTATCTATAAATTGGAAAACAATATTTTAATTTAAACTTTATCTTAAATTATTTATAATTTGACTTGAAGGGATTAGATTGAATACACAAATTTGGCTACCAAACTTGATTGAGGATGAGTCTTTAATAAAGTTTAAATAAACGAAAATGAAATTTTTTCTGACAGATTATTACCTATTTAATTTCCTCGTAATAAACTTCATTAAAGAACAATCATTGTTTCCATTGGGGTCGAAAATTCGTTAATAAGTATTTTAATTCATTTTGTGTTTGAATAAGAAATAAAATTATATAAAAAACTTGTATTCATTACACTGTAGATTTATTCGTGATTTTTTAAGCAGCAGGAAAACAGTATTTTTGCAAAATGCATGCTTCCCATGTTAACATTTTCATACGTAAAAATGATTTTTTTACACTTTTCGTCAAAATGATGTAACTTCTGCCATCTGAACAGCACTTGAAGTTAGTAATTGTATCCGGACTCATCAAACCCATCGTCCATTAATCTTAACATTCGGTAAAACATATGCTAATCGCAACATTATTGACATACTTACATAATTATAATGTCTCAATACACAAATTTATCCAGTAACATGAACTCTATTTAATTACTCATGCATAAATTTGTGCTTGTAGCATGCATACGCAAAAGTTTGTACACTTTTTGCCTAACGTATACACACATTTCGGGATGACGTTTAAACTCATGATCATGAGAATTATTGCAAGATGAGATTAGAGAAAATCAAATTATTTCTTGGTTTAGTGAGCAAATCAATGAGACGGTTACGTAAAATGTATAAAGTAGTTTGTTTACCATGTGCGATAAGTGAAATGTACACTTTATTGATGATGATGCCAAATTCAGAGTGGCACATGCACGGAATTGATAGTCGTATGATAACGCAGAAGGATGACTCGTCTCCTCACTCCAAAACATATTAAACTCATTCAGAGATTTCTCATGAGATTCGTCCACTAACATTATTTCCATTGAGAAACGTTTCGCCCTGCAAATTGTAAATATGTGCATGCCTAAATGCATTTATAAAGACTTGTGTGAGGGGCCGAACATGCAGCATCTGATCGATTTTAGGAGAATTTTTTCCCTACTCCCACGGTGTTACATATGTACGTACATACATACACATATGCCCCATGTTAAAATCAACACGGGTACGATAAGACGCCTTAAAATATATGTACTTCCCCTAAAATTGATCACATACTTTTTGTGCAGTCCCACAGAAAACACAGAAAATCATCTCATGAAAATATATCTACTTGGCATGAATTTATGTATGTACTTTTACTATGACACAATGCAATGCTTTACCAAAACGTTTTCTCCTCCGTATATAAAGCAATCTTATTTTGTCTAGATAGTCATTTAAGAGACTTGCTTACACGCATCATTTCCCTGACCATCATTTTTAAACGGTAAGACACATATTTGTATAACGTCGAGTCCAGTTTAGAAAATGCATATTGCTTATAATAAAATTAAACTATATATTTCCTTTACATATTTTTTGCAATTCAGGATTATTATTTTTTATAACTCAATAATTACAAATTTTAGTACCTGAGCAGTTATTAAGAGGTTATTGGGTTACAAATAAGTCAATTACTGGTAACTCATAAAATCTATACGTTTTGTGAAATAATGTTACAAACTTTTACAAATCAAAGGACTTAAAAATTAAAAGAATTTTATAAACTCCCTTGAAGATTTTGTAAAAATTTGAAATCTTAAAAGAATGCGAAATTTTGTTTACAATGTAGCCAAGGATTGCGTGAATTACCTCAATGTCTGCATAACTCCCATCATAAGGTATAACTTCGTATTTTATTACTTTACAATATTTTTTCAATTTTCAGAAAAAAATGTCTCACTTGAGTGAACGAGATGTCTTGGCCAAGACCATTTACGCCGAGGCTAGAGGCGAACCCGACGAGGGACAGAGGGCCGTTGCTCACGTGATTAAAAACCGAGCCGCAAAAAATCGAGACTACTGGGGTGGCAGCAGCGTGAAGGGGGTGTGCCTCAAGGATAAACAATTCGAATGTTGGAACGGAAGAAGTGACATTGACATCAATGAACCCCACGCGTATCAAAAAGCGCAGCGAATTGCCGATGAAGTTCTGTCCTCGAGGGATCCCCGAAATGATCCCTCGCGGGGATCGACCCATTACAACAATCCCGACAAGGAAGACCCCGATTGGGGGAGAAAGATTCCGAAAACCACCAAGATTGGAAAACATCAGTTTTATGAGTAAATTTGATAAATGTACCATTACAATCAAATTATTGCAATATGAAAATAATTTACTTGTAAAAAGTTGTTATACGCAAAATTATGGTAGAATTTGAAATAAAGAGCTTTAAGCTATGAATGCATGTGTCAATCTTCCTCTGACTTCACACTTTCGGAGTCGAGCACACATTCCTAAGTAACAATGGTGACGCTTATCACCAGCTTGACACCTTGGTAAAATTGTTTCATGCTGAATCATCAAACTCATCCTTACGTAATCCAAACATCCTGTCAAACTTAATCTAATCGTGCAATTCAATTAATAAATGTTATAACTTATAGACAATAAGTTATTGACAAAATTACAAAATACAGAAATTAATCCAACAACATAAACTCCATTGAAGTAAATAATAACTCATGCATACTTGAGTACATAAATCTGTACATTCACGTATAAAAACATACGTATGCATATTATACAACACGGAAAATCAGCACATGATAACACATGGATATCTTCATGATGGAATCATCATCCAAACGTTTTCTCCTTTATTCACATTCTTATTAGAAAGTATATAAAGCGAGTTCATCCATGTTTTGTTGCATATGTAATTTGCATGTAAATACTCGTACATATTCCTCAGAACTTCATACTTTTTATTGTGAAACGGTAAGAACAATTGACACAAAATCGGATCTTGTAACGAACCTGATTCTTCTGAACTTGGGGTTATAGGAGATATCAAAGTCCGCCTCGTACATAATTTTGTTTCAAAATATGACCCAATATTTTACAAATTTTTAAAAGTTATTTACAATTTCCAGGAAACCATGTGCCGCGTGAGGGAAACAGAGGTCATCAAAAGGAAGATTTACCCGGCAAGAAGCGAACTCGACGAGAGACCGCAGGACGCTGGATTCAGGGCACAGAACGAAGAAGCAGAGAGAATTTCACAAAAAGGGGTTGGGGATTCGGCAGATCCTAAAGTTGATTCCACACAGGGATCCACCCATCCCACCAAAGAGGATTCAGAGTAGGCGAGAAGAAGATTCCGAAAAGATTGGAAATCATAAATTTTACAAGGAAACTTGATAATTTATGGAGTAGTTAAAGATTTTTTTACTTAAATGTAATGCAAAAATTCTGGTCTAATTTTAAGTAAAAACAAAACAAGTTAACTTTGCCTAAATCAAACTAGGCAAAGAGAAAAACCTGTTGAAATTAATGGGTTTTAAAAACTTTTCATCTCCCGAACAGTAAATTGGAGTTATGAAAACGACGCAAATGTCAAAAATTCGTACTATTTTAAAATAGTATGTACATATGTCTGTATATACTTAGTAAATATGTCCTTACTTATAAATGCGTATTGCTTACGGTAAAACAAATAATGCGAACTTATAGTTTAGTAAATACTAAACACATCATCGTAAATCGATTAAAATTTAAATAAAGTTTGTTTGAATTCGGATTATTACCGAATCGAAGGGAAAAATAATTGTGGAAGTATTTATGTATATGCACACAAAAGAATCATGTGAAACGATATATTTCAAGTTACTTAACTTGGGTAAGTTAACTTAGGTAAGTTATTTAACTTACCTAATTAAGCTTGACCGAGAGATGTGGGGATAATTTAGTTTTACTTGGAAATAGATTTAATCGTTCCAATTAGAAGACCTTTCCAAGGTTTGCGAACATAAAACAAATAATACATGTAAGTGCCTATATAGATCGGCATGAAACACTAATTTGCCATAATGGTTTATCTAGGCATTGTTTACAATTTCTTCATAAGAAAATATGTTATAAATTTTATTGTCGCAATTATTACAAAAGTTGATATGGATTTATAACTGAAGTTCTTTCTACCTATGTCTATTCAGTAAGGATTGCAATTGGGCAAGCTGTTAAACAAATGTCAAAGTAATTTTGCAATGGCAGCTTTCTTTATTTACCTTAAGCAAACATATGTAGCTACTTACATTTTGATACTACTTCAATATGTATATTTGTACAGATATAATTGTTTCTTTTAGGATGCTAACTTATACACGATCATTGGGGCCGAGAGCTGAAGACCGAGAGGGGCTAAAGCATGAAAATGTTGATGGCATAATTAAATATTATTTAATTTATTTTCTAAAATCATTTAAGGGGAGAGAAACGACTCCCAGTGGGGAAAAATATTAATTAACTTTTTGACCCATACAATACAAAAAATGCCTTTTTCAGGGTAAAAAAATAATAATTTTGCGTGGTGAAACATTGGACCGTATTCGCCTTAAGTGATTTTATAAAATACTTAAAAATTTTCAATAATAACATTTTCATGCTTAACCCCCACTATATTTTGACCCAACTCACTAGGTGCCAATGATTCTACATAAATTAGTATCCTAAAAGAAATTATTTTATCTGTACAAATATGCGTATTGAAATAGTAAATGTATTTCTGAGAAAGTATTTACTTCTGTTTGTTTGAGGTACATAAAGAACGTTGTAATTACAAAATTACTTTGGCATTTGTTTAGCCAAGCTTGGCGAATTTAAACCCTTCAAATTATACTGAATAAACATAGGCACAAAGAACTTCAATTATAAATCCATATTAACTTTTGTAATAACTTCGACAAGACAATTTATTTCATATTCTCTTAGGAAGAAATTGTAAATAATGCGTAGATAAACCTTGGCACAAGTCAACAACAGCTTTCAACAGCAAATATAAATTCCACGTATTCGCCTTACTTCTTCATTGAAGCATTGCTTCCCTTAAAGGTAACACTGTTGACCGTGAATTCAACAAATCTTCGAAATCTTCGAAATGCTGACTAGTCGAACACTAAACATCATCGGAATTTACTCCACCTTCATCAACAATCTATTCGTATGCACCCCCTTCTCATGGATCCCTGAAAAACAACTTCTCTACGTCAACACGGATGAATCCCTAACTAACTTGGGTGCGTACATGCTAAACTGTGCGCAAGGCGTGGGGTACATGGCGTACTCGTCCTGGCGGGCGTACAATGTCTTACTTAACCCCGTGGGAACATCCATCCTCGAAATATTATGGCTCGTCAACTGGATCAACTGCTACGTTTGGCAGATTGCGTCAAATCATTCCGCTTGGGTTAAGAGGCACGAGACCGTGTCCGCCTTCAACGGAACGATTAAACTGTTCCGCCAGCTGTCCTCGCAAAACAAAGGGAAGGCTCGAATGACCCCAATAATTTGCACTTTGAACATCATCGAACTCCATTTTCTCATCGCGACGTTCATGATTGGACAATTTGCTGTGGCGTCTGATCTCATGTTTTTCGTTGTACCGGGCATGATCCAATATTTGTATTCCGTGGTGGCTGAAAAGTATAAAGTTGGCTGGGTTTTTCTGTTCTTCGTTATTTTTGAGGGAGGCTCGAAATTGTCGATGGCATGTGCCAAGGGCACGGTGGCCTTTAATGTTTTAATGGGAACGCTTGGAACGGATTTTTGGCTGCGGTTTACGACAAGGTAAGTGCGTAACTACTTAGAGGTACAGATTTTATTTGAACATGTTTTAAAATTGACCTTAAGACTGTAGTTGACGTTGATGAATTGTGTAGTCCGCGTAACTACCTTGGAAAATATTATATACATGTATTCCGGTTATTTTGGTTGCTTTTAGGTCTCACAACTTACCCGTTTCCAAAAAAATCCGAACCTTTCGTGCTCTAGATATCCTGATGCGGAGTATAAATGATTCCTTCACCTACTTCCTCCTCTCGGTTATCCTACTTTGTTGGATCCCTTGCACAATGGCGTCGATAAATGGATTCGCCTCAATCAGGTTTCGCCCGCTGTTGACCTTCTTTCAATACTTGCCGTTCGTGGCACTATTCCTAAATGGGATTTTGCTCATTGCAATCATCCTACGACCCTGTGCAGGTGTTTATGAAGAGTCCAAGAGCCTAAAAGTTTCCCTAAGCAGGCACACTTGTCAAGGTTTGGGTAAACAGAGTACATTTTTTCGGAAGGAACTCTTGTCGCTGAAACCGTTCGGGGTGCGGTATGGAACTGTACGAGTAGCGAAAAGAATGGACATCTTGCTCTCGTACACATTCATTGCGGATTACATTTTCACCCTGCTGGTCAGTTTTCCAGAATAAGACGTGCTAATTCTGAAGGAGAACGAAGAAACAAAATTGTGGCTTTAAAATCAAGACAGAAATATGGGTTTCTATAATTTTACGTCATAAATATGCAGATACAACCTTGCATTGCTGAAATGTGAAGGTTTGAGCCCTTATTTTCTTAATTTATGCAGGTAGCGCTACTATCGTGGTGAATTATTCATTATAAAATATATCTTACAATTGTTAGTAATTATGATGGGATATTTAGGCTTAGTACATATATGTCCATACTAAATGCATCCAAAGTAAATGTCGGCAATTAGTCGGTCAGGAATTAGCTTTCAATGTGCTTTCGCACGTGATTGTGATTTCTCTAATTATGTTGATTTCGCCCACTCACAAACTAAATATGAAATATAAATGCATTTTAGAATTCACGCCATAGATTTGCCAACAACAATTGTGTGGGTAAAATTTAATCTCAATGGGAATAGTTTTGACTGAGTTGTCGGATAGACGGACACACGACTATGTACGGGCTCGGAATAGAAATTTGAACCACCCCAATACCGTACAAAAGGTTTCTTCATTTAAGAGTGATGGAAGTCCAAAAAATCCTCGTATAAATAATAAATTTTATCATGCATATATGTATAACCGACACCGTTCTAATTTCGATACTAGTTTTGCGAATATGTGTAAGGTATTTAGATAACACCGCTAATAAAGATAACCACTAGTTATGTATTTAGCATCCATTTGTCATCAAGGTATATGTACATACGTATGTAAATATGTTTGTATTGTTCACAGTTGACCCCTAAGGAGAGCACACGTACATTTTTTTATGGAAATCGCTACTAAGGTTAATATGAATTTACAATTGTTTTAATTTACCCACCTTAAACAAACAATTATACCAGCCTTCTTATAAATACAGGTACTAAATACTTCAGTATGTTGATTTGTACAAATATACTGCTTTCTCTTAGAATTAGTATTGACCTGCATAAATAAA